AACAGCCAAGGAATGAAAAATTCTGGTATGTGGACATAGCAAAACTTAGGATGTTGCCATCATAATCAGCACGCTTAGAAACATAAATTACTGTCTCTTGGTGTAGGCAGTGAGAAGTGTAAGAGAAACAAGAAGTCATTTCTATCAGAAGCTAATATTCTATCTGAGCTTTTAGTTCAAATAAAAATGTAACCAAGAGAGTCAGAAATAATAGAAATTTCAAATTGGCCTCTGGTACTCCTGGTGAAAGAATGTGAGTCAGGAATTTCTTCTTACAAAGTTATGAATTGTCTGACCTTGAATTTTATTTCCAAACTTAAGTACATCCAAAGTGAATTTACTTAATTTACAGACAGAATTGAGCATTTTAAGTTATTATTTTAGAATAATAAAATGGGGGCCGGGAAATGGCTCAGTCGGTAAAGTGCTTGCTGTGCATGCTTGAGGACTTGAAATTGGATCCCCAGCACCCTGCAATCCCAGTGCTTGGGAGACAGAGACAGGATCCCTGGAGCTACTTGGGCAGCTAGTCTTGACAAATTGATGAGCTCCAAGTTCAGTGAGAGACTCAGTCTCAAAAAATAAGTTGAAGAGTAACAGAGGAAGACACCCAACGTCAACCTCTGACGTCTACATACATGCACACACATATAGATAAAAAAATGAAAGGAAAAAGTGATATCATGCATTGGGTACTATATTTAGAAATATAATATTGAGTACATTGTCATCCTTTGTTCTTGGTGGAGAAGCAGCCATTGAAATGGTCAGGGTCTATGGCATAAAATCTTGCCCTACTGTGCACAGATTTTGTATTGTCATTATTTCTCTTTAAGTAATTTATAAACTGCAAAAGATTACCTTGAGTACTATAAAAGTGCTTGGTTAGTGAATTAAATATAGGAGATTTACCTAATTTAATGGACAGATGGTTCTCAAAGGAACTCCTGGTGCTATATTAAACCCCAAACAAGGGCGTGACACTCTACATTGGAACTAAGATTCTTCATATTGAAAAGTAGTGCACAGCCATTCTTATAGTTGTCCTCCTTTTTCTTTGGTGAATTCAAGTGCCAGCAATATCTAGTTTATGTTAGAATTGAATTTTATTGAAGCAGAGGAATTACTTTAGGGTTACCTTGTTTCCTGTGTCTTTACATGAGTTTTGTCTTCATGTGAGAGCTCCTTGTTTCTGTGTTATGGTAAGGAATTTCTTTCAACCCTTTGTATTTCCTTTCTTGTATTAATGAGCTATTACTGCTTTTGAGGCATGTGAATCATGCTTCTCTAAGTAAGTTAGTTGAACATATGCTTGTTTCAGTTATAAAACATGAAACAGAAATGCTTATATTTTTTTAAATTGGGGATAGAATCCCAGACCTTTTGCATACTATGTAAGTACTGGACCACTGAGCTAAAGCCTCAACTCCGTGGATTCTTAAAAAACACTTTTTAAAGAAAAGCTCTTAATATACATAACATCCTTTGTTTACAATTGTTTTCCTGAAGTTATGGCTTTGTAACATTGTTTTGGGTTTCAAGAAATGTTTATGGGGTGATGGAAAATAATAGCTCTATTATGTGTTTGATTTAAATGCTGCTAGGGTATATGGAATTGTTATTTGCCTCTATTTAGGCAGATTAATTTTTAGTAAGGAAGTTATAATATTTGATGGACTTATTCAGACATTCTTATAGTATTATATGTATTTATAAAATCAGTGAGTATATGTGCATATGTGTAATGTTCTTCAAGACAGATGTCTGTACCTGTTGATTGCATTAAGCATTTGATGTCTTATAATGAGGGATGGAAAACGTGCTTCCTTACTGTTTTAAGTGGATCATTTCTCCTCAGTAAATTGCATACATTCTACTTTCTGTATTCTGTGACCTTGTAGTCATGACTTCAGCCCAGAATAGTTTCAAAGTCATGTAAATGAATGCAATTAAGGTATTGCTTATCATCTTACATAGTTCAGATGGAGCCTTATTGGATAGAGAGGTTTGTTTGCTTTATAAGGAAGGTCAGTGTAAGGTTAAATTTTATTATATAAAATGATTTGGTAATGTTTTTATTTAGCTGTTGAGAAACTATTGTCTTGACAGAAAATAATAATGCTTCCCCACCCCCAATCACCTGGATGTCTTTTTAGGGTTTTTTTTTTTTTTACTTGTTTGATTTTTGTCTATTTTTTCCATTATTATTTAGTGCTTTATTTATTTCTCTATACTTATAAACTTTTAAGGCGATGCCTTCTGTCTATGTACAAAAAAATCTTGGGAACATCATATTCTGAGATAGGAATCTAGGTTCATAACACATATAGCTGATAGTTCCAGCTGCTGATGGAAGGTAGCTTTGTTTTTGCTAACGTTTGTTCTTAGAGGATTTGCTTTGTGCTGGTTACCAGGCCAGGTGGTGCAGGACTTTCAGACAGTAGGATTTAGAATCCCCCACCACACACAGGCAGGCTGTGGGGGTTGGGAGAGCATTAACAGAAACATTAGAGGCTTTACTGATGAAGAACTGAGAGTGAGTGTGGGTTGGTAGGCATAAAATAATCAAAAAAAAAAAAAAAAAAAAAAGAAAAAAAAAAAAAAAAATAGCCTCCCTTCTTTTTTTAAAATATTTTATTTATTATTTTTATTTTACGTGTACAAGTGTATTGCCTGCATGTATGTGAGTGCACCTGTGTCCTGCAATGCTGTGGCGGTCAGAAGAGGGCTTCGGATTCCCCTGGAATTGGAGTTAAGGATGGTTCATAGCCGCCATATGGGTGCTAGGAATTGAACCCAGGTCCTCTGCAAGAGCAGTCAGTGCTCTTAACCGCTGAGCCATCTCTCCAGCCCTTCCTCTTTCCTTTTTATGATATTATTAAGCATGTTATATTAATTGATTCAAGCTTTAAGATTCTTGAGTCCTATAGCAGACATTTACTGAGCTTCTTCTGGATGCTTTGCACTGTAGCAGATACAGGGAGAATCAAAGACAAATGAAAGGTTCCAAGAACAGTGAGAACAACAACAAGCAGAATGCAGAGAAAGCAACAGGGAGTTGTGGTGACTGGAGGGCCTGCTTGGTTGGAATGGTGGCAAAGTACCATGTTAAGAAATTCGAAGTCCAGACAACACAGTTGCTGTGTATTCATCTGCCACCTCTGGCTCTTACACCCTCTCTTCTGCAAATGACCCCTGAGCCTTGGGAGGAGAAGGTGTGATATAGGTGTCCTGTTGAGAACTAAGCACTCCACAAGTCTCTTCTCTGCATGTTGACCATTTGCGGGTCTCTGTTAATTGCCTTCTGCTGCAAGAAGAATCTCCTCTGGTGAAATCTATGGGGATAACAATAAGTCATTATGAGTCAGTTCACTTTTAAGTCTCTTTAGCAGAATGATAGTAGTAGGTTCTCCCCTGTGGCCTGAGACCTATCTAGCCACAGGTTCTTGGCCCTCATGTTGTCTAGACACCACAGGGTAGTTGCATGTATGAACCCACAGTACTTACGACAACATGCACAAGACCTGAGCAAACCCAAGCCAGACAGGGGCTCAGCATGAATGGAGGAGATGGGCAGGAAGCTGTGGCCCTAGCTGAGGCTCTATTGACAACTGAAAGATGTCAGGAGAAGGAGAGTCAGTTTTCCCTACTGGTGTGATGCTTGGTATGGTGACCAAACTCTAAAGAATAGACCCGCACCAAGAAAACTTGGGAAGTACAGATTACACTCCATAGGCCTTTGATTTTTGGTTTTTGGTTTTTGGTCTCAAAAAGACAAAAAAAAAAAACCCCAAAACAGAGACCATAATAGAGGACATGAAGTTGGGGGGAGTTGGGGGGTTGGTCAGTAAAGTGAGAGTGTAGAGGAGGAGGAGTCTGAACATGATCAATATATATCGTATGAAATGCTTGAATCAATAAGAATATTTTTAAAAAGAAAGAAATTTGATGTCTATATCTGACTGTAAGGATTCTACAAGACCTGAGTAAAATGAATTGCTGCTTCTTTTTGGTAGTTAGTATTCAGGTCTGTGGGTTTATATTCAATAAAGTGGTGATCTTGGAGAACTGATCACAGGTTATGGATTAGTGTTTGAAAAAGTTACAGTAGAAACCCAGTATCAGTATACTGCCAGTGTGAGTTCAATAGAGTACACTGACAGTGTAAGCCTAATAGAGTATGCTGACTGATACAAGTAGAATGTTACTATGATGAAATCAAGGCATTTTCTATCATGCCTTCCTCATCACTAGCTAACTGCAATATTTGTTGGCCCATTGATCATTGTAAAGTTTGCAAAGCCAACACCTATTAAAATAAAGGCTTTATCTCTTGCTGGTCAAATAGTTTCATCTACTAGGCATGTGTAGCCTGTAGCCTATGGACTGCATGTGCCCCAGGGAAGTTAGGAATAGAGCCTAACCCTAACACAAAACATTAGTGTGTGTGTGTGTGTGTGTGTGTGTGTGTGTGTGTGTGTGTGTGCGCGCGCACACACACACATTTTTTTTTTCTTTTTTCTTTGTAACTCAATTGTGCAGTTCTTGAGAATGAACTTGGCAGGTGACAATGCTGTATGGAGAGGTTGAACACGCCTCTCTCATGGGTCAGTGCCACTCTATATGGAGGATGCTTCTAGTTCTGTGTTTAACACTTTTTGTTCCTGCTGGTGAGGAGAAGAGATGGGATTTTTCAGACTCTTCTTCTAATATACTTCTAATTGTTTAACTTCTCACACCCTCGGGTATAGAGCTGACAGTATAATGTCAATGTAAAGACAGGTAGTGTGCTGGTGTCAGTAATTCTATAATACAAGTTTCTCACTAGACATCAGCAGTTGTGCTCAGGGAAAGCTTATATGAGACTCTATCTCGCAATACATCTTTTTTGTTGTTTTTTGAAACAGCTTATTTTAATTTGTATTTAAAATTCTATTTTACTTTTTGAAATTTTTGAGATCAAATGTACTCGAAGTAACACACATTTCTCTTTCTTTCAGGACATGTGTGGATTGTGAGCTATTGCAGCACTCTGTTCTTAGGACCCATTCCTTGAACATGTGGGAGAAACACATCCAAAAGGTATTGTTTTACCTCATTGCTCCATTGTTTCTCTGTTGCATCAGGTCAAGCCTTTCAACGATAGGAAAGTAAATCCATCCCCTTAACTACCCTTATTTTCTTTACGTTCCAGGTGTTGATAAATTAGTTTGACATTTGTCACAGAGAATAATATATTTTACTCTTGATAGCAAATACAAATAACTGATTTATGTTAAGTCAGTTTTACCTATTTTAATCATCTGAAGTATTTATTTTTTAACACTATTTTTGCATTATGGCTGTTGTGAGATTAATACAGGCTTATAATTGATCTGCTTATTGGCCCAGCAATACATGACATGTTACTGGGAAGAAAGAATAGAAAGATCATCAGTTAAGAAACTTAGCTGCTTTGTGTTTTTAGTCCTTTTGAGACAGGGTCTCCCTGTAGCTCCAGCTGGCGTGGAACTCACTATGTAGAACAGGCTGGACTTGAACTCAAAGATCTGCCTGCCTCTGCCTCCCTAGTGCTGGGATTAAAGCTATGCTCCACCACGCCCGGCCTAGCTGCTTTGTGTTTTGTCTTTTGCACTTTGTTTTAGTCTGTGTGGGTAGCTATAACAAAATAATGTAACCTGGGTGACTTTCAAACAATAAAGGTTTATTCTTTGCAATTGTGGAGACTGACAAGTTCACGATCTTGGCACCAGCAGGTTCTCTGTCTGGTAGGGTCCAGCTCTCATCAAAGGCTGACTTCTTGCATGGCAGAAGGGATCAGATGAGCTTATCCCTTTCTTGAGGTCACTGAAAACCTGCCTGAACCCCACTTCTATGTGAATCCATATTGGGGACTAAGTTTCAATATATGAAATTTGGGATAATTTGAGTAGTCAGTAGTGAACAAAGTCCCATTAGTTTGCTAATTAGCTTTTCTGTACTGTTACAAAACCATATTAAAAGGTGTAAAGATTTATTTGTGTCCTGATTTCATAGATTTCAGACCATCTTATCCAGCCCCATTGCCTCTAGGCCTGCTGTAAAGCAGTAAGTTACAGTTTCAGGAGGGTGTGCTGCAGCAAAACCTCCCACTTCTTAGTGCTCATGGAGCAGAGAGAGACAGGGACAAGATGTGCCCTTCAAAGTCATGCCTCTAGCAGCCTAATCCTTCTAATCAGACCGTGCCTCCCAGTTACCCATTCAGCTATGAATTCACCTGTTGATGAAGTTAGCACCCTTATGATCCAGGTATTTCTGAAAAACCCCAGCAGCTGGAACCAAGCCTTCAACACATCAGCATTCTTCAGCTCCTCTTCATATCCAAACCCCAGTACCAAGGTTTTCTTCTTAATGTCCAGCTTGTACCTCTTCTGTTTTATGTTTTCTTTTTTTTTTTAATTATTTATTTAATAACCACATACTTAGAAGAAGCATTTCATTACATCAGCATTGACATATTCAATAACAATTTTCTGAGCTAGGCTGCATCTCTTACAAAATTGGCTGTACATTTTTAGGTTCCCAAATACAGTTACATTATTGTATTCAGTATAAACCCTATAAGACATAATATTGAATGAGGTTTTGACCTTTAAAAAAGATCTCCATTTCATTATTAAAATAGAGTTTCATGCAGAAAACTTCATTTTTAATGCAATTGACATTAAGATGTTTGCACATGTGTTTCTAATCTCTATATATCTGATTCTTACTAGTCACAGTTGGTTACTTTCTGAGCTCCTTGACACCTAAGCATGGATATAAAGTCATCAGGTAGACTTCAATGGTAATGTTTTTCACATCTACTAATTATTAAGGAGCAAATTTTTATGATTTGAAGAATTATTATTATTTTTTAATCATTTTTAAAATTTTTAATAACTATTGTATTATTAGAAACATTTCACTACAGCTTTAACATATTCAGTAACACACTCCAGAGCAACAGTACAACTCTTTCACAAGTGGGTGCAAGTTTCTAGGTTCACAGTTGAATTAATATAGTTATATTGAATTCAGTATAGCCCAGTAAGACATAAAATTGGATGAATTTTTAACATTTAGTAAAGATCTCCATTTCATTTTAGAATATATTATTCCTTGCAGACAGACTCATTGTTTTTGCTACTAACACTGAGGTGTTGGCGCTTGCATCTCTAATCTGTATGTATCTGATTATTACTAGTCATAATCTGTTGCACTTGGATCCTTAGCGCCAGTGTATGTCTATAAATCATTGGGCAGATTTCAATGGTAATGTTTATCACCTCTTCTAATTAGCATGACGTAAATTTCCATGCTTCCTCCTCAGTATAATACGTTTTTTTAAATGTATTGATTTTTCTTTTGTATGTGTGTATATCACACAGAACACCCCAAACCATCTCATTCGACTATCCACCCACTTCCGAGATGGCACCCTTCCGTAGCCTCCCTCCCCCCACTAGAGCCCTTATACTCTGATATCCCTGTTACTGTCTGCTTGTTGTCGGCACCCCAGCCATTCTCCACTACTTGCACATCTGGTGAATCTGGTCCGCCTATCTAGAGGTCTTTGGGTCAGCTGTTCCTCAACTAGCGGCAGTCAGTTCTCAATATTCCTTTAGATAAGATTGGGTCTGCTGTTCATTTCCACTGTTCTATGCTGGGTTACTATCTGGGAGTCCCTTTGGCCACCCTGGCCAACAACTCAAAAGAAGGTTTAGCCTGTCTGGCATTGTTGGTTGTTATGTAGCCTATAGCTATGCATATGGACTCTTAAGAAATTATATTGGTCCCTTTAATCTTTGGTTATACTTTCCTTTTGGGTGTTTAAGGCCATACAGTTGGTCCAGATAAACCAATTTATTTTTACTTTTAAGGTCATTTGAGGATCTGTTCCTCAGGGGTCACATGGCTTTGGGAAGAGTTTCTTTTACCAGTTCCACCTATGTGAAGATAAGTCAAAGGTCCTGCTTGACCATGGTTGGCTTTGCTTGGAAGCATGGAGGAAATGATACCTCTGTGTTGGCCAGCCTCTTTGTAGACTGGACACTGGTTCAACTCCATCTGGTCAGGACTCCTCAGCCTCCTTGACCAAGAGGACCGGTGACCACCACCATTACAGGACATTTTGAAAGATGCTCATAGTCCCCTGGAACTAGTCAACCTAGGAGGGTATGGAGCAAAAGTGTCCTTTATGTCCCTCTGACAAAATTATTATAGGCCTCAAAGTATGTCTGGTTAGTTCCACCAGTCTAGTACTTTTAATTACTGTTTGTCATATAGATAAATCTTGGGCAAAGACTAGTTGTTCTCAGGTAAAGCTTACCTAGACATATATTTCTTGATCTGCTATGTATAATTTGTCAGTAGTTGCTGGAGTAATATGGTTCCCTCTGGTTTTCAAAACTAGCCATGCATTGTTTATCTCTCACATTGTCTCACCCATCCATCATGGTCTTCCCACTTAAGGTGCCCCCATTCCCCCCCCCATCCCTTAATAATACCCTTCTCCTATGGTCCTACCTCTCTAGAGCTCCTTCTTTCCCTTTATCCCCTAGGTTCCTTGTATACTTTTTCCTCCCCCCTCCCTTAAACTAACCCAATTTTTATCCATATCTCCCTTATTAAGGCCTGTTTCCTACTGTTCTTCTCTTTCAGGTTCTTTCTTTTCATTTATTTCCCTATTTCCTTTCCATTATCCTGGTTACTGTAGTTATGTCTGGTTACATACTCATTTATGATTTGGTGCTATGATCCACATATGAGGGAGAACATATGTTGTTTGTTTTTCTGAGTCTGTTACTTCACTTAGTATAACAGTTTCTACTTCCATACATTTACCTGCAGATTTCATGATTTCATCTTTCTTTACTGCTGAATAAAACTCCATCGTATATATGAACCACATTTTCAATATCCACTCATCAATTGAGGGACACCTAGGTTGCTTCCATCTCTTAGCTACTGTGAAAAGAGCATCAACAAGCATGGATGTACAAGTGTCTCTGCAATAGGACGAGTTCTTTGGGTATATGCCAAGGAGTGGTATAACTGGGTTTGTAGTTTTTTGAGGGTTCTTTCCATAGTGGTTGCACGAGTTTGCATTCCCACCAGCAGTGAATGAGCATTCCTCTTTCTCCACTTCCTCTCCATCATTTGGAGTCTTTTTTTCTATTGATCTTAGCCAGTGTGACCAGGGTAAGATGAAATCTTAAAGTGGGTTTAATTTGCATTTCCCTAATTATTAGTGATGTTGCGCATCTTTTAAGATACTTCATAGCCATCTTTACTTCTTCTTTTGAGAACTCTCTGTTCAGCTCCTTAGCCCATCTTTTAATTGGATTACTTCTTGTCCTGATTCTCTGTTCTTTGAGTTCACTATATATTCGGGCTATTAAACCTCTGTCAGATGTGTCTCTGGTGAAGATTTTCTCCCATTCTCGCTGGGGACGATTTTCTCCCATTATGTGGATTTTCTCTTCACTTCCCTGGTTGCCTCCTTTTAAGCACAGAAGCTTTTTAGTTTAATGAGGTCCCATTTGTTGATTCTTGCCCTTGTTTCCTGAGCAATTGATGTCCGGTTTAGAAAAACCTTTCCTATGCCTATATCTTGCAGGGTTGTCCCAATGTTTTTTTCTAATAGTTTCAGAGTTTCAGGCTTTACATTGAGGTCTTTGAGCCATTTGGAATCGACTTTTGTGCAGGGTGAAAGATAGGGGTATAGTTTCATTCTTCTACAGATGGAGATCCATTTTTGCCAGCACCACTTGCTGAACATGCTGTCTTTCCTCCAGTTAATGTTCTTGGCCCCTTTGTCAAATAGCAGGTGGCTGAAATTGCATTTACTCATATTTGGGTCTTCAATTTTGTTCCATTGATCTATGGGTCTATTTTTGTGCCAGTACCATGTTGTTTTTATGACTATAGCTCTGTAATATAGCTTAAAATCTGATGTAGTAATCCCCCCCAGCATTGTTCTTAGTGCTCAGGATTGTTTTGGCTATCCGAGGACTTTTGTGCTTCCATATGAATCTTAGGATGTTTTTTTTCCAATTCTG